GGGATGGGGGGCTCGTTGGGAGGGGGAAGTAAGGAGGGGGAGGTAGGGCGATGTGTTGTATCATACTCTTTCTTGCAATGTCATCGACACGGAATAGACATTTGTGTAGCATTTTCATTCGGCCCGCCGTGTGCTCGCGCTGTAAACTTTCTTCGTCTGGGATCTTGACTTTTGTGCCCGATCTAGTCGCCATTCAGAGCGTGTGAGAATCATGATACCAGTACCAGCGAACGACGGCAACGATATCGGATGCAGTACAGTCTGAGTTGCATCGTCGTCCTAGGGTCTGTGCTGCGCCGACACTTCTAATACTATCTCGATAGGGCACAAAGTTCTCGGGCGCCATCTTATCTTATCTGCTAGTTTACTGAGGTCTGCTCTGGAGACTATCTTATCTACCCCGCACACGATCTCAAGCCAAGCGATAAGAGTTTAGACTCGATGGCATCTCGCGCCTGGTATGAGCAGTTGAAAGTCAAAGCTACCTGCTATTCATCCCGTGTCGATATCGCTCGCCTGCGCGATGGCATCGACAGACTCACACCGCCAGAACCTTATGCCGTGGGAATCGACACGTGCTATCGTCGTCGCCACAAACCGTCATCGCGCACCCGCGACCATTGAGATTCCCCCTCCCATCACGCCTCACAGCCAACGCCAGCCCTCCTCAGCCCATGACAACCCCCTCATGCCCCTCCCTACATCCCCCTCCATCCCCGCCGTCTCCCACTCCGCTCAGCTGACAGACTCTGACTCTGAGTTTGACAACTCGATAAACGCGTTCCTCGCCCGCACAGACAAGCTCACTCTACTCGTCAACTTGACGAAGGAGATCGCGGCGCGCGACAAGCGTATCGGCGATATACCGTCGGCTGAGACCGCCGTGCGGATATACGATGCCAATGACGACCTACGTGGATTGATAAATGCTGCTTTGGAGACGGGGCGGTGGGCTGCCGTTCGAGGTGCGTGTCACAGATTGTTCACCCTCGTCAACGGCCTGTCTGAAGCTTTATTCAGACCGCCTTGCAGAGGTCCACCCACGCGCGGCCAGGCCCGTGTTACCCGCGACAGAAGAGAGCAAGTACGGTACGTCCTGCGTTCTGCCGCAACAGCTCACGACGTGCGAACTCACCGTGATAATTATGACCAGCAACGATCGCGTCTTGGAGCTATCCCTTCCGCGGACCTGCGCACAAGGCCCTCTGGGACCATATCGTTGAATACGCAGGAAACGCGGGGTACTACGCGCCGTACTGCGCCGTGGTGCAGTCTTCGGGGACGGGAAAATCGAGATGTGTCGACGAGCTGGGTAAGGAGCGCTTAGTCGTACCTATCAATCTCAGTGATCCGCGCGCGCGGGGTACGTCGTGTGCATTCTTGTCTTGTATGCGGTGATTGTAGTAACGCAGAAGGTATACTTGTTTAGGGTACCCGCCGTCGGATAGGAATCTCCACGCGTACTTCACGCGATCAGGAGTAGGACCGAGCCTCGATATCCGGATGGACTGTTTCCTCTGTGCGCTGATGGAGACGCTGGTCGATACGCTCGAGTCTCTGTCTCTGTCTCTGTCCGGCGACGACGCGTCGGTCCCTGCGCTTTTTCGCGAACATATGAGTTCTGGTCAAGGATTCGACGCGCACGGGCCCCAGCGCGTGGAGTTTTACGATACGGTCGTGGAGAGAGCACAGGCTAGTCCGGTATAGTATGAGCGCGCCTCTTTGGGTCTCACTTCGTGTGTACGGGTAGGCTCTGGAGAACGGTCCCCGAGTACGGGAGATCGTTCAGTCCGCGTCAAGTACGACAGCACGGATGAAATACGGGAAGGGTGAGTTCAGCAGTCTCAGTAGATTGGCTGGTCATTTGCTCATCAAGTTATAATAGGCGCGCTTTCCACGCATGATATGGTGCAGAGACTGGACGAGACGTGTCGGCGCCTGAAGATGACCACGTCCGGCTCAGAACCGGTCGTAACACTCGCCATCGACGAAGCGCACACGCTCATGGCGCGCTCTGACTCCACAGACACGGACAGTGCCCTAACGCTATCGGCGCCATTCCAGTCCCTCTGTCGTGCGCTGCGCCCAATTGGCGGTGACAAGGTGTTCGCGCTCTTTATCTCGACGGATCTCAAGATCGCGGCGCTCACGGTGCCGCGGGTTATGGATATGGGCGCGTTGTCGCGTCGCTTGGCTCAGGTTCCTACGTTCACGGCGTTTGGCTGGGATCAGCTGGCCCGGCGGCTCGAGGTCGGACCTCTCGGGATCCCTTTTGACGAGATCGGCTTTGGGTATCAGGTCAGGCTCGGTCGCCCGCTGTGCGTACCCATCCCCCAAAGACGTCTAGTCTGTCTGTCTGCGAGATGGCTAACGCAAAGACGAATTCAGGTTCTCCACGCGCTACCACTACCTCGCGTCGCACGCCAGCACGCGCGACCGCGCGCAGGCATCGACGCTCCAGTTCGCCGCGGAGAAGCTGCTCTGCGCGCCGTATCCCCCAGCCGTCACCGGTGCGCTCGCGCGGGAGGAGGAGCTCGCGTGTCTGGCGCACCGAATGCCGCTCGCGTTTCCGGGGGTGGTGCGTGCGGCGTCGGAGCAGAGGCAGGTGCTGAAGCATATGCGCGTCTGCGTTGATGTCGGCGTGCACGACTTGAACCCGGGCTCGAACTCGGGCGATCTCGTGTTGGACCTGGCCACGCTCAACGCTTCGGAGCCGCTGCTCTCGGCCGCGGCGAGCGAGATCATGCGCGAGCGGTCGTATACGTTCTCCGCGCCGGACGTGCTGCTGCGGCTTTTGGCGAGTCGCGAGGTCGATGTGGGCGCGTGCGGAGAGGGCGTGGTTGCGATGCTGCTTATGACGCTTGCGCGGGACGAGGTCGTTAAGAGGGGGCTGGAATTGCAGGATCATCCTGGGTTCTTTCGTGTTGTTGACTTTATGAAGTGTCTGTTCAATGATGCGGACGGTACGGGCGCGGGCTCGGGTGGGGGGTCGATCTGGCGAGCGAAGCCGTCCGTGTTCAGCGATCCGTCGACGAGGGACACGCCGTTCGAAGACGCGTTCGCGGGCGTGCACATGCATTTCAACCATTTTATCAAGCGGGGCGCACAGTTCACCAAACCCTCGCACGAGCCGAACACAGACACAGACTCCAAGGATTCCGATTCTGGAGACAATGGCAGGCTCGGCCTATCGCGCCTCTGCGGGTTCTTCGTCCGGAACGCGGCCGTCGCATTTGCCAATGCCAACTCACAGCGGCGCGGCACGGTCGACCTCGGCTTCGCGCTGTGCGACGGCCTGTTCGTGCAGCGCACCGCGATGGGCGTGGTACTCGTACGCGTGCACGTCCAGACCGGCCCCGCGTACGGCGACACGGCCGATCCGGATCCGGATCCGGATCCGAGTCTGTTCGACGCGATGGACCCGTTCGAGCTCGGTATCTTCGGCCCCGATTTGAGTGAGGCCCCGCGGGTTCCTGTGATACGCATCGTTATGGTGCTTGGGAGCGAGAGTGCAGCGGGGGTGAGGAGCGTGGAGGGGAGGCGGGAGGGGAGGTTCACGGCGTATGATTTTTGGGCGGCGGGGGTCGGGGAGGAGGTGTATGGGGTCGTAAGAGGGAGGGAGGAGGAGGTGTGGAGGGATTTGGTGCGCGAGGCGAAGGAGGGGAGGTTGGGTGTGCATGGACGGGGACGGGGAGGTGAGAGGGGGAGGGCGTTGCGGATGGCTGTTACGCCTATGGCTGGGGATGAGGACGGGTTTTGGGAGTGGTTGGAGAGAACTGATGAGCGTGGGGATATCGGCACACTCTGAGCCGAGCATGGATGTTGATGCGGACGTGCTTTCCTTGACTCGAATGAACTGGACTCAACGCATGGACATGAGTTAGCAGTACTTAGAACGCAGCGGACATGTATCTTACTTACGGCTTGTCACGGGCATTGACATGGTCGTATACGTTATCGTTATTCTGTATTCTATTGGGTTTCGACTGTGAACTTCTGTATCATTTCTGTACATACTGTAGCATAGATTCTTGTGGCCCTTATTTCTATAATCGTCTTTTCCCCTTCAGTGTGATCTCGCTATTGGAATAATATATTCAGACTTTGTATTTAATGCTGACTCGGAGCCCATACGCTATGCTAAACGACGTCATGCCGGCGCCTTTCGGATTCTGGCCATGGTAACTTGTCAAGCTCAGCCTGGACTCACTACCGCAACACCAATTGGTGCAGAAGACTGACTCGTGTAACGGGACTTCTCGTTCGATAGGGTACGAAGTTCTCGAGACTTGTATGAACCTTATCTACCCCACATTCGCCGCTCACAGCTGGTCGACTGATCTGTGAGTCGGTACATCCGCTTTGCGCTAAGTACATAAGTACTGAGTGAGTTCGAGTAGAAGAGATAAGAGCCCTCGCCCTCGATCGCGAGGAGCTTCTTGGATCTGAACCCCAGAGATAGTACCTAGTACCTAGTACCTTCTCATCGCTCGCCCACACCAGCAGCTGTACGTGGTTGATAAGAACTTCCAACCCAGAAGCGACGGCTCCCCGCGTTCTATCATAGTGTGCCCTGCCTGATAAGGATAAGAAGCACGTCTGCACTTCCTATATATCAACTCGGTCTACACGCGATCCTGCAGTACATCGACCCGACCCGCAATGACCTGGTCCTCCGAAGCAACCCGCGCAAAGAAAGCCTCCCAGCTCGCCTCGATCCCCCTCGAATGGCGCATCCCGCCCTCGAAGCTCCCCAGCGCCGACGTGAAAGACGTCTTCCCGTACCTCTCCTCCACGGGCATCCTCACGCCCTCTCAACTCGATATCATCCACACGCCCGTGCAAAGCCTGCTGAGCCAGTTGCGCTCCGGACAGAAGAAGGTGCTCGAGGTTACGGAGGCGTATTGTAAGGCCGCGGCGGTGGCGCAGCAGCTGGTGGGGTGTTGCACGGAGATGATGTTTGGGCGGGCGATGGAGCGTGCAAAGGAGCTGGACCGGGTGTTTGAGAAGAGCGGAGGGGAGGGGCTGGGCGCGTTGTTTGGGTTGCCGGTTAGTCTGAAGGACCAATTTCAGGTGAAGGGTGTTGAGTGTAACATGGGTGCGCGTCGTCGTTCTCGAAGGAGAGGTGTGGTGAAGGCTGACAGAGGAGTGGCAGGTATTGCGAGCTGGATCGGGCAGATCTCGGAGAAGGATTCGGTGCTGGTGACTATACTCGAGAAACAGGGCGCGGTGATCCATTGCCGGACGAACGTCTCGCAGGGCTTGATGGTGCGTCCCACACTGCCCCTCGTATCGAACACGCTTAAACACCGGCGCGCGTAGTTCTCGGAGAGCGACAACTACGTCTACGGACGCACGGACAACGTACGTCAGCGACTCGCACTTCGAAGATAATGATGATGCATGTGCTCACCATAACACGTACATCTAGCCATTCAACCGGACGCTCACGCCCGGCGGAAGCTCAGGCGGCGAAGGCGCGCTCGTCGCGCTACACGGCAGGTTCGTCCATCCCGTCAAACGCCTCCTCTTAATCATCCTCACCCTCCTCAATCATAACAGCCCTCTAGGCGTCGGGACCGACCTCGGCGGCAGCGTGCGCATCCCCGCCGCCTACACCGGGCTCTTCGGCCTGCGCCCCACGCTGCACCGCTTCCCCTACGCCGGCGCGCGCAACACGCTGCTCGGGCTCGAAGGGATCCAGAGCGCGCTCGGCCCCTTATGTGCCGACATCGGCGGCGTGAAGGCGTTCGCGAGGGCCGTGCTGGAGGGCGAGCCGTGGTTGTTGGATCCGAAGACGCCGGAGATTCCGTGGAGGGAGGGGATGTGCGCGTTGGAGGGGATGAAAGCGGAAGGGAGGAAGCCGGTGTGGGGCGTGATGTGGTGGGATGGGGTCGTGAGGCCGCATCCGCCTATGAGGCGCGCGTTGGAGATGGCTGTTGAGGCGGTGAAGAAGGCCGGGTACGAGGGTGCGTGAGGGGTTGTTTGTTGTTGTCGGCGCGGTGTTGATGGTGGGCGTGGCAGTGATCGAGTTTGAGCCGCTGGACGTTGAGAAGGCGGAGAAGCTGACGATCGATCTGTACGGGAGCGACGGGAGTGAGGACCTCAAGCGCACATTCGCCATCTCCGGCGAGGTCTGCCATTCTATCTATCCTTCCTTCCTCCCAGATAAATCCTGACCGACTGACAGCCGTACCACCCGATGATCATCACGCCGCAAGACGCCGGCCCGAAGCTGTCGGTGTACGACTCGTGGCAGCTGAACGTCGCCAAGGACGACTACCGCGCGCGCTTCCTCGAGCACTGGAACGCCACGGCCGCGCGCACGAGCACGGGGCTGCCGATCGACGGGCTGCTCTTGCCGCCGGGCGCGACGACCGCGCACGAGCACGGCAAGTGGCACCGCTGGATCGCGTATACTTCTTTGTACAGTACGTCCTGTCGCGTGTTTGGGGGTGGTGGAGAGCGCTGAGCGTATGTATAGACATGCTCGATCTGCCGGCGATGGTTATCCCGCTCGACGCCAGGGTCGATCCGGCGCTGGATCCGGTCGACAAGGACTTCCAGCCAGCCAACGCGCGCGACGCCGAGATCCAGGCTTCCTGTACGCGTCCCCTTCTTTGTATTGCGTGTGCGCCAGTATCTGACTGGGCGAGACAGATTCGCCCGAGGTGTACGAGAACGCGCCGATCGCGGTTCAGCTCGTCGGGAGGAGGTACCGCGAGGAGGAGGTCATCGGCTTGACCGAGCTCATCGTGGACGCGTTGGACAAGGCCAAGGGCGAGGGCAAGTGATTGAATGACCCGTTCGTGGGGCCCTGGGTTTCGGGTATCAGATAGACATTGACCCAGCAGATGTAAGAGTAGCTTGAGAGGGTGGAAGGGGCGACATGACGGTCTGAGAGAACCAGGAGACAGCATACAATCATGACACAGCGGTCGATCCGGCCCGGAAACCCCGAAAATGCAGGACGAAGCCAGCCTTGCTCAAGATCAGAGCTAACCAGTTCAAGATTTCTACGCACCCATTGTAGACCCAAACCGCTTTATATGCAGAGTTCTCCGATCGAGAAGGTGAACAGTGTTAGACGGTTCCCAGTTCTGAACGTTTGAACGCGCGATGCGAGCCTCGTGTTCACACAATTGATGGCATCACGCAAGCGGCACCAAGATAATTAATCCCCTGCTTCACCCTCTCTTCGCCCTCTCAGTACAGTATCGTACATTAGTGCTTTAATCCGTATCCGCCCTCTGAAACCCGATAGTGATGATTATATTCCTACAGCATTCCGAGAAACCTAGATGCGTTCGCACGCGCCACTCGAACTCCGAAACCCTCGCGTAGGAATGCATGCCAGCTTACTGGACTTTGCGCCAGCGCGCGTTATTGACTGCTGTACTACCTGTCTTCAATAATCAGAGATTAGGATCCAGCAGCTGAGCTACTACGGTCAACGTACCGTGATAATAGAATCGTACGCTCAATCGAACCTGACGAATGAGATGATCTGCGCCCTGTGCGCTCGACGGCCGGGTTCTGCAGCGAGAGTCAGAAGAAGAGAGGAGGGGCAATAAAGAAGTCTGCTCACGAGTCGACCCGTCCGGCTCGTTCAGGAATCGCTTGTCAGGAGCAGCGATAGGCGCAGGTGCGGGTACAGGTGCTGGTGCGGCAACGGGAAACGCGATGACAAGCAACGGCAGCATAAGCACGAAGAGCGAGGTTGAGATCTGCATGGCTTCGCAACTTCAGAAGGGTAAGAAAGGGTCTTCGGGGTATATGTACAGTCGCCACTGCGGAAGCGATACGCGTCCGAGCAGGCTTATATGCCTCCTTGGCGCTGGCGCAGTACAGCATGGGACAGGACGGGAAGTGCGGATAGTCAGCAGCGATGAATAGCCTCAGGGCGCAGGCGCGCAGACTGGCGCTCGTGTTGAGCGCCGAGCTCTTGATGGACGGGTATGAGCGGCTGCCTGGCCAGAATCGATCTGCCTATGTAAGATAGAATTCGAAGCGCTACATTCTGCAGCTGACCTAGCTTGGGATGCGTAGAGCTGTACTCTCAACGTCTCGGGAGCGCGAGCGAGTATACCTCCGGTGCTGTAGGCACTACAGTATGTAAGACCCTTCGTCCAAAGTCGAAAGCAAACGTGGGCGTGGCAACGGCCTTCGGCCGGCTAATCCGAGCGATATTGTCGCTTCAGCCCGCCCTTGCCGCTAGCCACTCATATGGCGATCTAAGCTAATGTCCATGACTGAGATTCCTGCCATCTAACGCAAGACCGTGTGGGTCTGCGTGGCTTGGATGAAGAGGTCGGAAAGCGGGATGCACGCAACTGATGGCATCAGCGTTCTTCCAGCAATTACCGGGGGTTCCGAAAGTGGGAAACCTGGCCAAGCTAGGTACATACCCAGAAAAGTCAGTTTTTGCACCCAGGTATCAACGATATAGTTGGACCTGGTGGGGCAAAGGAAAGACGTTTACTGCGGCGCGTAACTTCGGATGCGCGCGTTGTGCTCGCGGCGCTTGTCTTCTTCCACTCACCATCATCGGGCCCATCATGGACAACATACCGCGAGATGACCGCTTGCCATAGGACGGACACTGCGAGAGTCAATGCAACCCAGTGTCTTCCTCAATCGTACTCGGCTTAGGATGACGGAGTGATCTCCAGGCGGTGACTTTGGCGCGAGAGGTGGCCTATACAGGATGATGCTCGATCCTATTCCCGCGGACCCGCGGACTCGTGTTGGCACTGCCCGCGCCACATCCCACCTCGAGTAGCCTGAGACTGGTCCCCCCATTGGCTCTCGTCGAGTGCCGGAGTACGTTCGACCTGGTCCGGGGCAAGAAGCTGGATTGCCGACGTTGTCGGGTGTTGCAGGCGCGACGCATTGTCCAATAAGGAGGCGCGGCGAGCTGGTCAAGTGACAGCCTCCATCACCTTTGGCTCAAACGGGGAACACCATCTGGACTCCCATCTGGAACACGTGTCGCATAGTATGTGTACTCTGAAGAGGTCAAAGATATATAGGTCTTGGGTAGAGGTCCGGCGACACCGCTAGCTGTTGCGTTGTCCGTGCTGTAAGTGAACACGCGCTACTCGAAATCGCAAAACTGATGGGTTCATGCATCGTTTACCGCCGAGGGCCCTCGCTCTTCACCTCCTTCACGAAGTCCAGACTACGCTTTGCGAATGGTCAGTTCTTAAACTTCACTCGCTGAACTGCCTCCTTACGCGCGAGACAGGCTTTTCCGGCGTTGCCGACCCTTCTTTCCGATGTTCCTTACGCCCGTCAGATTGCTTCCTCCACTGGATGTTAGTTTGGATTCTGTCATTACCGATTATAATTGACTATGCTCTCAGTACGCGCTCGTGACTCGAGCGCTCGCTTATCTCTGCGCATGATCCAGGCTGATTGCCATTCGATCGCTGCCTTCTGTTCTCCAGGCTCGCGCTCATGGACTGGATGTTCGCGGTGACAGTCACATCTGGGCTGGATGGTCGCTTGGATGGAACACAGTGTATGCATGTATATGTTAGCTGCATCAATTGACCTACAAGCCATCCCTACAGTCCCCGGGACTCAATCCCTAATCCGCGCTGCTCCTCTGGCTTGACATGAGTGCTCCTCAACTTGGCTTGATTCAAGCAGTTGTTGCGGAAGAGCATGCGGGTGCTATCCTCAACCATGTCTTAGGACACGAGGAGATGTGTAGGCGAACGTTCAAAGTCACCGTGCAGTACAATCGTGGCAACCCCAACAGCACACCCAGTATCTTCACCGCCCATGTCCGAGCCTGCTACCGCGAAGGGCATTTCCAGCCGCTCATACCGTTCATTGAGAACGCCGTTGCCTTCTACGCGGGTCCACCCTCTCCGTCTCCCCCCTTTCCACACACGTATCCCTCCACGAGCTACCAGTGGTACCACATACTAGATGTGCGTACTAACAACCTATCTCTCATCGTGCCACTGGGCATGTATGCGGCATACCTGTCTCGATCGACGGGATATGCAACGGGTGTACTGGATCGTATTGAACCTCGACCCTATTGGGTGGTCCCGAGCGAAACGGGAGGAATGGGAGTACCTATCGCTCCTCGCGTCACCGCACCATTGCGGTACGGCGAATCTGCTTTCACTCACGCAGATGGGAGCGCAAGGTCGACGGTCTATGTCAGGTTCCAGGTAAGTCTTCCCATTCACTTCGCTTCGATGTCGTCTGACTTATTTGGGTCATACAGTGGCCTGGTTATGAACCTTTTGAACGGCAACTCCGCGTGCTTAGCAACGCATCAGATTCGGGCATGTTCCAGCGAGTGGTGACCCATGTCAAAAACGCTGTCCGTGCATTCATTTCTGTGAGCGCACAACAAACTCTATGTCATATCCCCTTCACGCAGCCCACTAAAGGATTTCTATAGACCCACGCCGATGCGGAAACATCGTCTCCTCGCTGGGCTGTCGGAAACACGCATGGTCGTATCTCAGAGAACGATGTCATTCTCCTCGCCATCGTCGAAGTGTCTCGGGGCACGATTATGCCCATCCTCAAAGTGCGCGATGGTTTTGGTAGGCACTTCTTCTTAACGGTTCGACGCATCTCGGGACTGATGGATTCACAGTCTTTCCTGGTGCGGCGACAAGAGCGTCCTCGATCGCGCATGGTACCTTCAGCCGTCCTGCTACTCCTAGCCGTGCTGCGACGCCCACACCTCTTGCCGCGCCAACAGGCCGGTCTATCAACCCGTTCCGGGCTGGGACTCCCTTTCGCATGGGCGCTCCCCATCGCGCTGGCACTCCCACTCCCGGTCAGTCAAGCAGCAGCCGCTCCCCCTTGAATCAATACAGCTCGTACAACTAGGAGCACTGTCTCTTCCTTGAGGTCAGTGCTTACTTTGGCGCAGATCTGAGACCATATGCTAACCTTGTCGATTGTTAGCTTTCTCCAGAGCATAGATACGATGTTCTTGCGTCGCCCTCTCGTTGATGTTGGTTTCGTTTGACTACCCCGCTGAGCCTGTGGCTTCTTCTAAGTCGGCGTGCGTACATAGATGCTCTCAGTACATACGTCATCTGGGAATCCATATAATATATGGTATCGCGTGGAGAAAGCCGGGATGTGGGATGGCCAGCTCGACCAATCGAGAGGTAAGTATACCGCTTGCAATAAAGCGCTAGTAACTCGCCACGTTTACTATGAGTACACCGACTGTACGCCGTCGCTTTCTGATGAGAAACATCGTGGGCAATCGTGGGGCGCCTTTGTTATCGCATCGTGCTGATGCCGCGCGGCTGATTATCATGATGCCGACGCGTGTTTCGAGCGAAACCCGGTGCGGTCGGACCCTGTCTACCAACACCCATCACCTGGCCTGTCTTCTTCCTCCAGCTAAAGACGCAAGAGGTCAGATCCCTGTGGCACACGCACAAACAAGAACTGCGCACGATCATGGACGCGGCGGCTGGTTTTTCCCTTCTATCGGTCACGCAACAAGTTCGACACTTGTTCTATTCGGAGCTTGATTCTAAATCGGATTCTGGACTGGATCGTAGCCCTGCGCGCGCCAACTCATCACTGGACTGGACTTTGATCTGGATGTATCTCCCAGCATGAGGGTATATGTGCAAGTTGTCGTATAGGTGGACCTTACATTCGTACTCCCTACGTCTCTCTAGCTGACTTCCGAGGATGTACGGCGATACTCGGCTCGATCTGATCCACGACGTTGTTGCATCAAAGCACGAGCATGGGATTCTCATGTACATCCTGAAGTCTGAAGAGTTGTGCAGACGTATTCAAGCGGTTGCTATCCGGTACAACAATGGTGATCCCGCCGGGCCGAACACATTTCGTGCCTTCGTTCGATCCTGCTACCACGAAGGGCACTGTAGGCCCCGCATACCTTTTGTACCCGGCGCCATCGCATTCTACGCTCGCCCAGATCTCAAATGCTCCAACGTCGCGCATACGTACACTTCGACCAGCGGTCAGCAGTGGTACATACTCGACGTGGCCGCCAACGACCTATCGCGCATAGTGCCTTTGGGCCTTTACATGCCATATCGCGAGCTTGCCCCCGGCCGCACAGCGAGTATCCTGGACAGTATCGAGCCCATTCCTCTCTGGGTCGTTGGCAACGGCAGCCTCGGTGTACCGGTGGGACCGCAGGGCGATGTCTGCACGTGGCAACATGGCGAAAAGCCCTTCACGAACACCAACGGAAGTCCGAGGTCCACTGTCTTTGTTAGAATCAAGGTGAATACGCCTTGTTCGCTCTTTTCTCTCTAATCTGACTATTTTCGCATCTCAGTGGCCTGGATACAACATATGGGAGTCGCAGATACGGATGAAAAATGACAGTCGACCCGAGGACTCGTATACCTTCAGACGACTGGTCAATCAGACTAGGATGAAAGTCCGAAAATTCGTCTCCGTAGGTCACAACAACATACTTACGAGTTTTCGTCCATTGATCCCTCTTCCAGGACAATACGTCTACGCCGTGTCGGAATTCACGATGGGTTGTCGGCGATATGCCAGGCCAAATATCAGCCAAGGACCTTATACTTCTCGCCGTAGTTGTCGTATCTCACGGCGCAATCATGCCCATCCTCAAACTGCGCGATGACTATGGTAAGCAGTGACACGGTCATGTGCCCACAATTTGACGATAATCGCTTTTGTACAGTCCTCCGCAATTCGTGCCCCTTCCAGACGGCAAGCACGGTGCCACCCTTCCACGTATACGGGTCTTCGTTAGCCCCCTGCTCTTATGATCCCTTTGGTTCCGACAACCAAGAACTATCCAGCTTGGGACAATTTGATTATGTGCAGATGCCCTGCTACTGAGTTGCTCGCTAAAAAGATCACGAAGACTGCACGATACCGCAGATGATGTCCAGGTTTACCATATCGTAATGCCCCAAGACTGTTGATGCGCTACAAGCCCCGGCTTCCGATTTGCATATCACAGACCCGCTATTTTACCGGTCTCGCACAGACTTTGCAACTGGCCAGTCCGTATTTCATGTAGAAGTAGTACTCTGTGTTGCGCACGCATGTATCTGCTATAGGCTGTCGAGGGAGAAGATCAGGGACACATACTCACGCGGCCTACTGGCAACCCCGACTGACGAGGCCAACGCGCATGGTAGGTTGATCACATAATCATAAGGACCATCGATAGCTATACCCTTGGCGTATACGCTGCTACTGCGACCGCAACAAACTGAGACTCAATAACAAGTGACACTAACGTCTTGAACCCCATAGAGAACGCTCAGAACTGACAGATACACGATAGCCTCTTAGAACACGTGATGAGTAATATAAAGATAGCACTGCTATTAAGACATCAATGGCGAAGGTGGGTGAGTCCATGAGGTCGTAGGGGTTCGACGTTCGAGTTGAAGTTTGCCGTGTCGTCGCCGAGATGACTCCGTGTACACGTTGTGTACACGTGTTGGATTGCCGATACTCCCGACGGTGCCTAGAACTCTCAAAAGTCCAACTTCTCATCCAGCTTCCTTGATCACTGCCCACCACCTGCGAAGGCAACACCGGAGTCTCGATGCATAGGCGTCTACTGAAAGTAACCTTTTCTCCACGCCATGACCTCGGCTATCCGAACGGGGTTCAAGTGAGTGCTTGCCGCTAACAAGAGAGGTGTTCGGACTCTGAACTCGGTATTCTAAGACGGCCCCGGTAACGACGAATCGTACATGCTTCGCGGCCTGGATATATCCTTGCACATATCATGGGCGCATAAACCTCTAACCAATTGTGGCGCGGAGCAATGTTATCGGCGTGGCACTGGATTCTGGTCTGGCGTCGTGCAATTCTCAGTCGTGCGGCTATCTCGTCTGGACTGGATCTCTGCCGCAAGACCGTGACGTCTTGGATTGGATTACTGCCTGGACCGGGCCTCAGCCTGCTATATCTACGTTGTATGAGTTTGTAGGGCCATGGTTTTTTGACATCGTGTGTTACACCCGTCGCAACATGGACCACCAGCTGCAGAACCTCAAGCTCGTCGCGATCTCCGGACTTGTGGCGGAGAAGCACTCGCTTGGGATCATCAGGTATATCTTCGGAGCCCGGGAAATGGGCAGACGCATTCGGTCACTAGCCATTCGCTACAATAACGACGATCGGAGCACACCGAACGCTTTCCGTGATGCCGTCGCAGCGAGTTATCTTGATCATGACCGCCTTGCACCTTCAATACTTCACATTCCCAACGCCATTTCGTATGTCGCCCGTGTAGGTCACCCGAGCAGCGCGCACGTCTATCAGTCGGACACGGATCGTCAGTGGTTCGTCCCTGACGTTGCCTCGCCGGATCTGCATCGCTTCGTACGGCTAGAGCCACCCGTCGCCTACGCTCAACGCTCTACCAGTCGTGCTGACTACGTCCGTGACATCATCGACCCACTCCCCTTTTGGGCCATCCCTTCCACTGGAACCATGGGAACTGTCGGTGTTCCTGTCAAGACGCGGACCACTGAGGTGCTGATGTATGGGAAAAAGTCCTTCCTGACTGCTGATGGGAAGGCGAGGTCAACGGTCAATGTCCAGTTCAAGGTAAGCGAGGTATGGACGCCCAAGAACACTCGTACTGATTGCCTCTTTGCAATTACATCAGTGGCCCGGCTACTCCCGCGAATTCAAAGCGCAAATCCGGATCAAGAGCGATGCCAAGGATTGTGGCAGTGGCACTTATCAACGATTGGTCAACTTGGTAAAAGGATCCGTTCGCAACTTTATAGACGTGTGTAGACCTTTGCGAGTTCTCTGTAGCTATACTGACCTTTACCATAGGCGTACGCCCAAGAACCATGCCAAAATGCACACTGGGCAGTTGGCCCAGGGCGCATCACTGCAGACGATCTTGTTCTCGTGGCAGTGGTCGTGGTGTCGCAAGGTGCCGTGATGCCCATCTTGAAGGTCACCCGCGATAACTTCGGTCAGTATCGCAGTGACAGTCATGTCGCCTCACTTCGCTGATTCAAGGACCATAAGTAGTACCACCCAACCCGATTCAAGGCCAGGAGGTTGCCGCTGCAACGGTACAGGGCTTTGGCTCGTATGGCACATTTGGCGGAACGTGAGTCTGTTGAGCCTTCGTTCTCTCATGCCTTTCATTCACGAAGCTTCCTCGCCAGTTTCGGGTGTGCCAATCCCGAATGGATGAACGTGGAATATTAAAGCAGCTCAAATGCTGTGAACGACTATCTCCACTCCGACTCCATCAATGACGATGGATCCGGGTATTGAGTTGCGCTTCCTTTCTATACAATTACCTGCTTGTGAGGGCTCACGCTGTCTGATCCATAGGGATCGGCGGTTCCGACCCTCGCATGCCGAGTTCTGTCCCTTGGTCGTGGGCGACATCCATTTCTTGTCTGTCGTCAATCTAAACCGCATGATATGTGTCTGGTATTTTTGCTTCGAGTTCACGCGTTATGTGCCGCCATTTCTACCGCCAACAACCCATCTAATGATTGTAACATATTGTTCGCCCGGATATGAGAAAACTTGTACTTACATGTATGATTGATGTCTATCGAATTAAAAGCAAACCCCGCAGTGAAATGGCGCCCACTTTCGGTACATCGCTCATTGCAACGGACACCGGACTGTCATACCCACGCCGGGTCGTGACGGTAAGAGACGTGCGACCCATAAAGTCGAGTGTTGTAGAGTGGCCCGAAAGAAATATTTGTTGAGTGCACCGTATTGCAACTTCCGAGCTAGCTTCCGATCGAGTTATGAAGGCGCTGTTAGGTTGACTGTCAACTTACGCGCAATCCAAGACAGACAGCATAACGCTGAGGGAGCTAGGCGATGCCCGCAGCCGATGACGGCCATAGCAAGACCACAAACCGGCAGAGTATAGGCACGCTCCCAGGCGGTGTTGATTCAGAAGAGCCTCCAGTAAATACTGTTCATAACGAGGGAACGTAGTCGTCGAGAAGGAACGAGGAAAACAGCGTCGCGTGGCGCTTTTGTCTGCCGTGAGAATGATCGGCAGATGCCGACCTGATATTCTGCGCCTCGCCTCGGCGACCTCGGCACGAACGTCGATGATGAACCTACCTTCACCCTCCACGCATCCTCGTAGCATACAGTCCAATGCATCTGACTGACACCAGCCGTGCTAGCATGAGGGAGCGCGCGATGGTCTATCTTTGCCCGCGCGGTAGTTGTTTGGCCGATGTTTGCGCGCCTGTTCAACTTTACGTTCCCAGGCTCAATAACACATCAACCCATTGTCTCCCCTCACAGTCCACACTTCACATTGTGTCCTGCACACTCTTAAACTGGATCCCGCATGGCTCAAAATGCTCAGCTTGCCAGCCAGCCTAGCATCGCTTCTTCATTCTCATTCGACTCATTGCTCTTCTCTCACGCACTTCTCAAGACCCCACTTGGCCGTCGCCTATACCATCTTAACTCGACTTCAACTCTCTGCGATACCCCGCACCGCCATCTTCTGATACCTTCCCGACACGAATACAAGGCACACTTCACCGCCCTCTGAACAACCCAAGTACCAAACGTTCTACTTGTACGCCTCTTTTGTCCATCTCAGCCCCGGAGTCGGTACTTACCGTCTCCCCGCCTTATAAACGAACAGATACAGCAAATGTCTACTCAGATCGCAACTACGCCTTCGCCTGCATACGACTTCCTCGCCTACCCTCCTCCCTCGCGTTACCCCACCTCCACCTCCGCCCCGCGCCAGCGTTCGGTGACCGTCAGCACGACCATCTCCACCTGGGCCGCCCGCGTCACACCCGGCTCACCCGCCGCACCCTCTCCTCCAGCCTCTGCGACCAGCAACGGCAAACCAGGACTGAGCCCACGCTTCCCCTCGGCGCGCTCGCCCGTCGCGCAGTCCATCCGCGCCGTCTCGGCCTCTTACGTCTCTGTACATACACCCAGCCTCAAGGACTTCAAGCACACCGACCTCGCCGCTCTAGGATACGCGTTCGCTGTAGTTCCGCTTCCGACACCTACGACGCCCCATTCCGGTGTGATGGGCACTGCGCCGAAGCCCGCCTCTCTCGCGATACCCACTCCCCCATCCCCGTCGCCCTCGACGTTCTCCACCAAGTCCAAATCGAACAAGAAGAAGCGCGGCCTCGCCGGCCTTTTCCGCTCTGGGACCCGCGCGAAGTCGGCTGCTCCTGTACGCCGCAGGGGGTCACTCGCCGGCTCGCCTACGACGCGCGCACACAAGATCGCGGATGCGAAGCGCAGGCAGTACGCTGCTGTTGCGCCCGCACTCGATGCGGATCTGCGTCTCGTACAGCTCATGGACGGCGGCGCGTTCGAGGACGTTGTCTCCTCGCACCAGACGCGCGCTGCGCACTCGCTCGCAAAGCCCAAGAATGGCGGGCGCGGCGAGGAGATCGTCGGCGCTGTGCACCGTAACGACGATGGTGCCGTGTACCGCGACGCGTACGAGCCGGTCGAGTACGAGCACCTGCTCGAGGGCGCGCACGCCCGCACACCGAGCGACGTGAACTGGGTCGCATTCGAGACGCCGCGTTCGAGCATCTCGCACTCGTCTGGCGCTGTATCCGCCGTTCCCGCCGGGGAGGCCGTGTACAGGCCGACTCGCGCTCGGGAGAACAGCACTGACTCTATCCCCATGCTCGACCCGGCACCCGCCCCGCGCCGTCGTACAAGCGAAGACTCCAACGCTTCAAGCGCAAGCAAGAAGTTGCCTCTCTTAGCCATCCCCGTCCGCGCGCAACGTAAAGCGGCACATCTCCTCGCACCGGGGTACGCCGATGCATCGACATTCTACGTCCCTCCTACGCCCCGCACGCCCAAGAGCCCGAAATCGCCCAAGTCTCCGAAGATGCCGCGGGCGAGGGGCCGCGACCGCCGTCGTCCCGCGCCGCTTAACATCCCGCTCCCGGCGCCGATGGACGTGAGCCCTGTCGAGTCGCCTTCGCCTCGCACGTTGTTCCTCCAGGACTCGTTCGCGCCATCTCCTTCGGCCGGTGGGCCTGTCCGTCGCACGCGTTCGCGTTCGCGCTCCCAGTCGCGCGCCAGGGCTGGGAGGCCTATGCCCGCGCCTACGCAGGCTGTGCCGCCCGTCCCGCCTATGCCGCGCGAGGTGCTCGACTTTGGCGTGATCGCTATGGACGTGGACGCGCCTACTACGGTGCCGCATCGCGGGCTGGCTAAGAAGCCTTCAAGGATGAATCTCGCGATGCGCTCGATGTTCGGCAAGCGCAAGGACTAGATGCACACGTTCATGAACTTTCCAAGGTCGTCGTCCCCGGCGGACGGCAGTTATATTAATATATACGAGTTTCTTCTCATGATAGCTTCATGTTTTCTCGTACTACTCATTCACACGCACTCTTCTACGCCGCAATGTTTCTCGCTTTCTCGATTGATTGATTGGGTGTTTATGTTTGATGCTTGGTTCATGCTCTCACCATGTGTAGCGATAGGTCTCGGTTCTTCTGAACATGTGCTTTGATTGTATTACGATATTTGCTCTGTAATATTTTGTCCGTTCAAAGTGGCTATATCTTTTCAACATGTGCGTGCACAACAGCCATGAGCAAGTAGTAATCCGCGGTGATTATATACATCGTCTACCGGGCCTTCCCTAATTATGCAGACAGGGACACTTCTTCGGAGACGGGTACAGCCGTGTCGTCTTCGTCCTCGGATTCGCGAATCTGCCGTATCATCTCTGTGACGCAAGACCAAGCATGGACTCGGTCGCTGCTCACAGGCGGCACATGGTCCCAGAAGTACAGTGGCGACCCATCCAGCCCATCAGGCAACGGCGTGTTGCTCAGTGTCCTGTTAGGGGGAAGTACCATTGACAGATAATACGCCACGTCCGCCAGTTTATCCTGGTTCATCGTGATGGGCGACGCATCAAGCCATAACGAACGCAGTGATCCTCTGAACCGGTCGACACGGTCCGGTAATGGTTCTTCGTCTTCCAGTGTGGCGTCGAGGTAGAACCGGATGACCTCCATGAACGGACGGATGCGCGCCAGTCGACCCAAAACGCGGAGTGTGAGCGGGGTGCCGCCTACGACCACTGGCACTGGATTCAGGGAAAGTACGACGAGTGCGGGAAGCGCCTGTACGAGCTCTACGAGCTCGTCATCGTTGATCCGCACCGAGAAGCGATGCGCGACGTCGAGAATCGCCAAGTTCGATGCGCCGTGTAGTGGAGAGAACGTGGCGGCGTGCAACTGCTCGCGTCTGCCTGGAGCCTTCCCATAGCGCCAGCTGCGCGCTTCAGCTTCATCAGGTTCATCCATGTCCGTCTGGGGTTCGTCCCACCGGTACCGCGAAGCGAGCAAAATGCGCAGGGTTGATAGCGCGGGGCCAGCGCGTTCACTGAGCGTGCTCAGAACGCTGCGGATCTCACTCTCCGTTTCAGCCTGCACTGCACGCACTCCGATTTGCCTGAGTTGATGGGTAGGGAAGTTGGCATCGCGCAAGATGTTGTTGTATGCGACGAGCGGCGCGGCGAGCTCCAGCATGGAAAGAGACGGGAATGATCCCGGAGCGAAAGAAGGCGTGGGGAAGTCGGTGATGCTCTGCCTTTTGCGTATGGAGCTCTTTGGGTCCGACGTCGTGTGGAACCGGAGGATCGCTAGGTTTGGGCTTGTGGCAGCTGCAGCGAGCGCAGCGGAGGTGAGGAAGTTGACAGGCGCGGCGAGGGTTGTCAGATTCTTGAGACGTTCAAAGACATCGGGCCATCCATCGTCCAGAAGCTCGACATCGAGGGCTGAAAACAGGACTGTTCCATCGTACTCTTTCGGAGGATACGCGGTGAGGCATATGGATTTGACGGACGGCGCCAGGACCGATAGTGCAGTCAGAGAGTCGGTGTACAAGCAGCAGTGCGGCACTATGATGTTGACTTCGGTCAAGACGGAACTGCCGAAGAGGGGCCAGGTATACATCGACGAATAAAGATCCCACCAACGTAGGTATACGAGACGAGGGAAAAGGACGTGGCCTCTCGCAGCCACCATTGTGGCGAGATCCTCGAAGAAGGCCTCATTATTGCATAGGAACGAGTGATTATCTTTGTGACACTCGGCCTTCGAGCTCATGGAGTGCAGTTCGCGAACGCGGCGGGCAATGGGCAGAAAGCGGTCCACGCGTCTCTCAGTGACTTCGACATTGTATGTCTACGTACATTTGAGCGACATGTTCGGCTACGACTGGTGCAAATGTGCTCACATGGGTGTGGTTGTGCCTAGACTGGGGAGGAGCTAGGAGACCGAACAGCTGGCAAGGCGTATGCACGACCCGCCATACATGATCGCGTCCAATTTCGACTCACCCTCTAGATACTTGTGCGGCATGTGCGGCGTCGTGTCGACCCAAATACGCGAAGACGTTGTCGAGGAGTTCCGGAATGGCGAGGGCGCGATCCTTCGCAGACTGGTTATGCGCGATGAACGTGACGGACATCGCGACGGGGGGATGGCGAAAGTGCGAGGAGCGACGGAACACTTTATAAGGGCCTGCATGGGTTCCGTGCTCTATTGTGCTAAGTAAACCACAACCATAATCTCACGCCCGGAGAAGCGTTCTGTCGGACTGTGTGTTCCTGAACGCATTCACTCGTCGACGACGAGCAGAATAGAGTCCCCAACATTGCTAATCTAGCAAGCAGTAATGTTGATTCAGAATCCATAGCTGGCATGCAGCGCCTTTGGAGAGACATTGTACAGGGTACGTTCTGAAGGTGGAGTCATATATTCGTTGGTGGTGGTTGAAGGCAACTTAGACGCGGCCGTCGGCGCCGTGATAGGCCGTGATGGCTTGGTTGTGGCTGTGGTGGTCCGCTGGCTCACGCCTGCTCGGTGGTCAACCTTTGATTTTCGATCCGGCTTTCATCTTGACTGGATTCGCGCGCGATGGCTCTCGCACGAGCGAGATGAGAGCGAGAGAGAAAAGGCGACGAGGCCTCTCGGTGAACCGCATCAGAGTCCGTGTTGCAAGTCCGCAAAAGTTAGCGAGATTGGTCCTTGCAAAGGTGGTGCTGCAGCGCATTAGAAAGAGAGGGGTATGAATTGGAGATGAGCGACGAGAGCTAGTAGTCGCTGAACTCTCGCTTCACGATGGCGAGATTCTCACACGGCAACCCTGTGCGGTATGTACTCAAGACGCACTGGCAGCACCGCGTGGCCGTGACCCCGCAATCGCGAGAAATGGCCGTTGTCAGAACACACCAGGCTGGTGCATACCTGCACTGGCATGATTGAGCCTGTTCGTTCGCTTGATCGCTCCGAGTTACGATGAGGCGATTGATAGGGCATATAATTACAGATACAACTTATATAGCTTGCACCCTATAGGCCGGTTAGCTCAGTTGGTTAGAGCGTCGTGCTAATAACGCGAAGGTCTTGGGTTCGATCCCCACACTGGCCACTACGAGAATATAATGTTTAATTTTACATCTGTCGCCCTCTTACGTGGGTATCATTGCCTTCGCTGTGTCCTCCGCTGCCCTCTGTTATGGGAAGACTTCGGAGGTAGACGGCAAGCTACAGTAAGTGTCGGGAACGCGCTGAAACACTGCCATGCAGAGAACTCATCTCGTTCTGCGAGGAGCGATCTCAGATTATCACATAGGTGTAGCGTATGTCTATATCTACAATGTGAAGCAAGTGGGTATATATTTTGTCTTCCTCAAATCTCCTCTTTGTCTATCAGCCTTCATCTATACCACTAGTCTAAGCCCGTCTACCACCACCTAACCTCTGTCCATAAGAGCGGACCGAACACAGTGCATGCCGTCCAAAACTACAATGGAGATCAGCGAAGATCCTCAGGGTTCGACAGTAGCGGCGTTGACGTACAACGAAGAATGACTTGAGCGCAAGCGCGGGATACTCGTCTACCCTCGGCACGGCGTAGACCGGCTTGTCACCAGGTGCAGAGACGAGGCGCGGGCGGGTGAACATGATGTATATCGAGTAGAACGCGACGGAGAAGAAGTGGTAGAAGAGTAGCCACAAGTCGGCGCGAACTCTGCACATAGGGAGTCAGCATAGCTGAACGATGCGTGTATGTTGATGCAAAGAGCGACTCACGCAGAGAGCAACTCGACGGGCTCGTCGACGCACTTCCCGCCCTTCTCGAAGTAGGCGAAGCATCCGTCCTTCAGCACGCTCAAGTACTCGTCGTCGGCCCCGAACAGCTGATAGAGCGCCACGCTAAGTACGTTGACAGTCGCGCCCAGCGGCTTCCTCGCCCAGTGCCAGCGATGCAGCATATGGCTGACCGCATCCCAGTCGTTCAGGTCTTTCAGCGCAAGCAACTGTGGCGTGAGCAGCTGAACGTCGTGGAACGCAACAGTCATCCCGCCGCCGGTAAGAGGGTGACGCATATTCCAGGCGTCGCCGAGAAGTATGACGCCTTCCTTCGTCGACTTGCCGCCCTGTTCGGCCGCGGCGAGGAAGGTGTTGGGCATACGACGGATACGGTCGGCGTCGAGCGCGGCTTGAATTGGTAGGTGCAATGCCGCGGGGAGCTGTGGAAGGATCTCGGTCGCGATGTGTTTCTGGAAGGGAAGGATGCATGATTAGTGCCACATGTCCCAAAGAGGAAGCGAAGCTGCGCCGTACTTGCAAGTCCGCGGGAAGCGGAGCTTTAACGTCTACCAGCATACGCGTATCGTGCGTGCCAATCTGGTATAATAAAACGGGTCCATGTCCATGTACGAGGCAGACGGTGCCGTGGTTCGGGATAGGCAGTTGCGCGTCGGTGAGAATCAGACCGACGAAATGGCTGATCAAGTTGGTCCGCGGTTTAGCCTTGTACACCTGCGTGCGGAAATTGGAGAAGCAGCCGTCGGCAACGACGACAAGGTCGGCGTAGAACGGTTCGGGCTCTTCCGCGCCTGTCCTGCGCGCTTGGACCCCGATGATGCGGCCGGAGAAGGGGCACTCCACGAGAGTTGTGACGGTCGCCTCTATCGCGTCTACGCCTGGCGCGGCTTTGGCTTTCTCCCGCAAGCGTTGTACGAATCGACCGTGGTGGAAGGAGCGGCCCTCGTGCTGGTTTGTGTACGGGATCCGCACTGCCGAGCCATCCTTGACCACCGCGTACCCGCGTACGGGTATCGAGTCTATTTCTTCCACGCAATCCTCCAGCCCCAACGCGCGCAGAGCGTCCCATCCACCCGGCTGTAGCAGCTCTCCAACGATCCTGTCCGGCTCGGCAAACGACCGCTCCAGCAGCGCTACGCGCAAAGGCTTCGCACGAGATGTCGAGGCCGTAGAAGTCGTGAGCGCATGTGCGAGTGCGCTGCCCGCTATACCAGCGCCTACGATGAGCACGTCGTACGAGGTTTGCCAGGTCATGTCGGGTGCCGTCGAAGAAGACGCTGAAGCAGAACTCGTTGAAGGAGCGGACATGGCAGACACGAGTGTAGACGATATATGTGCGCCGTAAAGGTGGTCGCGGCGCAGCGAGAGCAGCGGCGAGACTCTGACCTGGCCGCTCGATGCGGCGCGTCAAGTCGTTCGATGTTAGAGCTTCGGCCGCCTCCGATCAGCCGGTGCCACATCATTTTCTCCAAGTTGCACGATCTTGTGCAGCGTATCTCCTACGCTCACTATCACATGCTTCTCGTAGCAGCTGCATAGATGTCAAAATCTCTGTCCAGTAGCTCTGTCTCTGCGACATTCTCAGCAGACGTACTACTAGCCCTTCCTTAGCACGACGCATGACACAGACACCCGGATTGTAGTTGCCCTGTAGAAAACTTGGCATAGGCCTGTTAGCTCAGCTGGTTAGAGCGTCGTGCTAATAACGCGAAGGTCTTGGGTTCGATCCCCACACGGGCCAATAGATAGAGGTTCAGTCATCTTTTTGATCCCGATTCCCCATACCAGCCAGGGCAGAGACCCAAAGCTCGAGTTAGATCGTATCACCGAAGCCTTCGCCTCATTGTCTTTCTATCGCGTTCGAATGCATGTTTCGTACAAGCAGACGGTTACTCCTTATTGTATGCTCAAGGTAGTATTCAACCATCGTTTCTTCCTCAAGTTGGCCGTCGTCGGCTTGACTTGCGACGTTCTGGAGGTTTATGATGGGCCTCAACGTCTTGAGTACCCGGTCTATAACGACTTTCAACGATTCGGAAGGATGGTAATCAATCGCGTTATTGCGCGATATTCAAAGCTTTCAGCATCGCGACTATCTACTAGTCAAGTTTGTATCGGGAATACACGAATCATGTGCTGCATCCTAGCTGCACTTAATCGAGCATAGAGGTGACCGAGTGACTGAAGGAAGAGGGAATAGGGGAGTAGTCACGAAGGTCATGCGATTGAAGGCAAGTCAACGTCAAGTGCGCGTATGTACGCGGCAGCGCGGCGTATCAATATTATGCAGTCCAGTTGTCAAAAGGCGGGTGCTGTATTCCGAGTCGGGCCACCCGGCGCCGCCGCATTCCCTATACCCTCCCTCACAACGGCGGCTGACAGCGAAGTAGGCAGGTGATGTTACGGGAGGCCAGCGCTGATGGTGGCGAAAGGCAAAGACCACGAATGGCACGGAAATATCGTGGGATTGGGCGGTCTGGAGGCGCAACTTGCTGACGGCGCGTGGACCTGTTCCTTTCCCGAACGTCCATGTTCCGCCATCATATCTGCCCGCCCAACGTACATACGCCCGATGAATATCTCTTGACCCCGGCAAAAACGGGATTGCTGTCCCGCATGCGCTGGTCCTTGTCCCCACGCCGCAGATCAGACCTCGCAGTTTGCTGTTGACACCCTGGCTGTCATTGACAATATTTGGGTGTTCCTCTGGCAACCACAAGGTAACTTCTAGACAAATTGTCTATTAGGGAACTTCCTCGTCTTTGTGCTTCCGATACGGATCAGCATGCATCTATTAACTACAGACTTTGCGCGGACGTGTAGTCCCCCAGCGCCTGAGTCGCCACCGTGTTGACGTGTGAACCCGCACGGCGGGTTCATTTCCCAGCGTCGACGGTCCCATGCTCGGCGCGCGTATCCCTATAATGCAGAGCAGTTATCCCAATGTGCTTTGCTTCTATCCCCTCACAGTGACATGCCTGCGGTCGGAGTAGTCTTGTGCAACCTCATTGAAGGTTGGGTCGCGGGTCCACTGTTCGGCGAGTATAGCTAGTCCAGTTTACACTCTTGGTAATCAGAATTTACCTTCGTGGACAGGCATAAAGTACGTAACTTGAGGGATCACTCCTGGTATGCTCGCTGATCAATCACTCAGCGTCGTACTCTTCGCCATCGTAGTCAACGCGCTCCTCGCACGGCGAAACACCACGAGCGCAAAGTGAGACGCATCATATTCACTAGCTATGTGACTGACACCCTCCTTCAGGTGGCTCATCGGAGTGAGTACGCTCCAGCTGGCAATCTCTGCCGGTCATGTCGGCACCTTGCTAGCGCGAACAATCGGCGCCTTCGTTTATATGGACGGCGTGGTACGAGAGGCATACCTGGCAGACGAGCGCACGCCTCTGCATACGGCCGAACAGGCGTTATACACATTCAACGTGAGTCGGCAAAACATTCGTCGTCGTTATCTAGACTGACTCGGCGGTGGCAGGACATCATCGCTGGCGGTATCTTGACTTGGCGATGTTACGTGGTATGCAACTACGATTGGCGAGCATGCGTCTTCCTGGTACGTGCTCTACACTACGAACGAGAGATGCTTGGCTTTCTAATTGTTAGACAGGTCCCTTCGTGTATCGGCACAGCAGGTGAAGCGTCGACAATAACTCCTATAACTGTACGACTTCTTATACTTTGACAGTTGCTGGCGTCGGCAGTGTCATCAAGCTTACAACACTTCCTACCGATCAAGTCATGTTCTTCGAGAGCTCGCTTAAGGCTTGGCTCACGGCATTCTGGATCCTCTCCGTCGTAACGCAAACATTCGCAACCGGACTTATAGGTATGCATCGCGCTTGCATGAGGTCAGAGAAGCGTTTGAATAACATCCTGTACCGCCTAGCATGGCGGATCTGGTCTACTATATCATGGCGCGCACAAGCGGTCGGTAGCCGCGAATGGCATGCTCTGCTCGTGTTCGTCGAGTCGGGCGCTCTATATAGTATAGGGACCGTCCTGGTGTTGGCTTTCTATCTGCGCGGATCAGAGATCGGGACGATCGTAGCTGGGATGCTCGGACAGCTGAGCGTACGTGGTCCTTCGTATACACTTGAACTGTTTGAGCTCACGCGTGAGAACACAGGCGACAGCACCGTATCTCATCATCGTGCGTAGCGAAGCGCGTCGTGCGGCAAACCGAGCCAGTGCCATACGATCAGGCACGGAGTATGCTATGAGGGATCTACCCGTTCGTCACGCCCACTCCAAGCCTTTTGCCATGAGACTCAGCTGATTGGCTCGCACACAGATGACACCAGGACAGGCGCACTTCTGGAAGAGGTCGACGGCGTCGCTGGGAGGCTATTCATTCGACGCAGGGGCTGCCAATGAGAAGTAGAAGTAGAAGGATAAAGCCGAGGGTCACTTGTGCGGTATGGCATTTGTCCATGCTCAGACAGCGTGTATGTGGTTAGGGTTATACTGGCCCATAAGCGCTCGAGTCGTCGTCAGCATCGTTTGGTGGAAAGTGGGCGTTGGCGTGGCACTACTATGAACAGAGTCGTGATGAAATACTTTCATTGTATGTCCCAGGAGGAACAACACGTGAGTGACTGTGGCTGCTTGTAGCCGCATAGAGCCAGGGAATAATCGGATAGCAGTGATGTAAGCCCATAGTAACCGGCTCCGATGATGCAAATGCAACAAGCCGACTCGGGGACGTGTCTAAGCGCGCCAGGACAATGAGGAGGGGATCGGGCTTTCCGGCGTTGTTGTGACACCCCATATTGTGATCAACCACGACTGACAGACAGCCTGTGCGCAACTATGTGAACGTAGAGGCAGATGAAGGCAAGAAGCGAGAGACCACGAATGAGGGCGAACGCTCGTGAGAAGAAATGTCGGCTGGGAGCCGCGATCCGAATGGCCGACTTCTGTCCCGAACGTCCATGTTGCGTACTGTCGTCCTCGCGCTGCTCATTATCCTCAATGCACACCTTCCGAGCTCTCATAGCACCTCCTGAGTAAGGCTGCGGTGGCCAATCTCGGCCACGCCACAAGTTCGTTCCGATGACGCCTATGTAACCTCAAGTCGAGAGACAATATCAATGGTTAAGTATCGCTTCGCTAAAGCTCAATAATGTGCCCCCTTGAGGGCAGACATAGACATGCCTGCTACGATGGCTGGTGTACATATCATGACCTGCAGGAAACCCATCGTGGTCAACGGACGAGCGTCTTGTACATGTGAACCACACAACGCCTGCTCCCAGCGCCAGATGCAATATGCCTCACGCGTCACCCTTATAACGCGAGACCACCTCCCGAAAGCATCCCCAGCTCTCCTCCCGCTCGAGCTCGTCATGCATGATATTGGGCCTGTGCTATGTAACCTCGTCGAGGGATGGGTGGCCGGTCCGCTCTTCGGTAAGTACATTACACTCTTGTTCTTGCGCTATCATTGACTTGCTTGCGTTCCGCAGGAATCAAGTTGGTGGATCGTGCTTATCAGATGGATGTGGATGCTTATCAACTGTTTAGCGTGGCGCTGTTCATAATCGTCGTGAACGCGCTGCATGTGCGCTGGGCGGAGAGCACAAGCGCGAGGTGAGCATCACTTGCAACCTACTTTATCGCTCTTCACTGATCATAACAATAGATGGTTGCTCGTTGTGAGCACCGTACAGCTGGCCATCTCAACTGGTCATGTCAGCGTATTGCTTGCGCGCACCGTAAGCGCCTTCGTGTACTTGGATGGCGCGGCGAGAGTGGCCTTCCTGTCGGACGAACGGACGCCGTTGCACACCGCTGCGCAAGCGCTGTATACTTTTAACGTATGTGTGTCTTCACTATATGTGTCGACTTTGGCTGATCTTCTCGCGACAGGACATCATAGCGGGTTGCATCCTGACCTGGCGGTGTTTCGTGGTCTGGAACTACGATCTTAGGCCATGCATTATGCTGGTACGCGGTCGTCCACGAGATAGCGAGCCTCATGTTGACAACAGGGCAGATTGCTTCGAGCATTGGAACTGCAGGTATGGGCTTGATGATGATTGCCGCATCCGAAACGTCTGACAGCTTTCACAGTCGCTGGCATCGGCAGCATCGTCAGACTCACGTCCCTTCCTTCGGACCAAGCCACGTTCTTTGAGAGCTCGCTCAAGGCATGGTTGACTGCGTTCTGGGTACAATCGGTGGTTACCCAGACCGTTGCAACCGGGCTCATTGGTGAGTATCGCCCGCTCGCCGCTTGAAACAGCTCAACATTTACTGACACCAATATAGCATGGAAGATATGGTCCTCTATCTCGTGGCGCTCCAAAGCAGTGGGGTCCCGCGAATGGCACGCCCTCCTTGTGTTCGTCGAGTCAGGGGCTCTATATAGCATCGGGACCATACTGGTGCTGGCATTCTACCTTCGTGGCTCGAATATCGGAACCATCGTCGCCGGGATGCTCGGGCAATTGAGTGTGTGTAGCCTGTCTTACGAAGGCTCTCCATGAGGCCAATGGCTGATCCTAACGATCACAGGCCACAGCCCCATATCTCATCATCGTGCGCAGCGAAGCGCGACGTGCGGCTGCTGTAGTCACCGCGTCGAAAGCAGCCTCTACCGAGTACGCTCTGAGAGATCTACCTGTCAGTCAGCCCTACTCTTCACGATCGGACTGCGTTTCTCACCTTATATTCAGATGTCCTCACGCCAGACGCACTTTTGGAAGAAGTCGACGACCTTGTTGGGCGGTTCGTTATCTAAGGCAGGCTTTGGGCGCAGCTCTGCAGGGACTCCCACACAAGAGTGCGGATGGATGCCCAAGACCAGCCTGGCTTGAATGCTCGGCTATTACGACCACGGTTATGCGAACATGCTGTGCATGTACGTTTTCTTGAAGGACATTGTATCATCTTACGACCCATCACATGTAGCTATAGACTTCATTCGAACTGTACCATCAAATTTACCATTGAGGCCCATTGAAGGCTCAATGTTCGCGCACGAGGACAGCTTTGTGCAGCTTCCTTGATGGCTAAGGCGAGACCGCAGCACTGTGAGCTCTGGCGAGACGAAAGGGCCATATGAGGCGAGTCAAGCAACTCCGGTGGGAACAAGATCCTGGGAAGCGCGCGGCGGGACACCCGCGTCGAGCTGCTGCTTCTCTCGCGCGCTCACGTTCGGCGCTATCGTCTTCGCAACCTCAATGCGTATCCTTGGCTCTCTCATGATAACGCATGGACTATTTGGACGAGATGACTGTCAACGCTCATATCGCCATCTTTGGCCAGTCCATGGGCTCTGATCAGTTTTCAAATTTCTTATGTGGAAGTCGTGCTTTTTGTCCAGTCTCTGCTTGCAGCCTTCCTCGGGCAGAGAAGTGAGGGCTCATTCCCTCTACTAACCTTGTTATCTGATTGGCGGATGGTATCATTTGATTATATGGCGACATCCCTCCGACTCGCTTCTACATGTGAACCCGCACTCAGCTTTCGCTCCCAGCATCAACAACAGTGCTTCGAAGTCGAGTTCAGACTATTATAGGAGCCTTCCCTTCGCCTGAGCTCCGAGTCTTTCTCCCGACCCATTCAAGGCCTATTCCAAATGGTCGATATCGGGGTCGTGAAGTGCAAACTCATCGAGGGATGGGTTGTCGGCCCGATATATGGCGCGTGTGGCCCTCCTGTGGATATCGTTGTGTCGAGCTGAGCAGTGCCCGGTCATCCAGGGATGAAGTGAGTGGTCTTTGCAATTATTGCAAACGTGTAGCTAACGGCCGTCGTATAGTGTCATCCTCTTCGTTGTCGTGATGAATGCGCTCCTCCTGCGCCGGAACACTACTAGTGCAAGGCGAGTTACACCTCCATTGAACCTAGTGCTCCCTCACAATGAATGCCGCATCAGGTGGCTACTAGGCATCAGCGCGCTACAGATGGCTATCTCGACCGGTCATGTGGGTGCACTTCTTGCAAGGACTATTCGCGCGTTCGTCTTCATGGATGGAGCGGCGCGGATGGCCTATCTATCCGATGAGCGTGCAGCGCTGCATACGACGGAACAGGCGCTATACACCTTCAACGTACGAGCTCATCTTTCAATGTGGCGCACACCAACTGAAATGACGCTTCATGTTAGGACGTCATTGCTGGTGGTATTTTGACTTGGCGTTGCTTTGTAGTGTGGCACCAGAATTGGAGAATATGCGCACTCTTGGTACGCATGCGACGTTGCGAGTCAGATGCAGTTCAGCTGACCTATGATCCGCAGGTCGCATCCAGTGTCGGGACTGCTGGTGAGTAGCGTGACGCTCGGCAACTGAGAACCTATCGCCTTCTGATTGTTGTATGGTTCAGTGTCGGGGATCGGTAGCATCGTCAGGCTTACTTTGCTTCCTACAAACCAGATGGACTTCTTTGACAGCTCGCTCAAAGCGTGGTTTACCGCATTCTGGGTCCTGTCGGTGTTCACCCAGTCCGGTGCGACCGCGCTCGTAGGTTCGTGCAATCGTTACATGCACTATCGGCAGCATCGACTGACTGTTGTCTTGCAGCGTGGAAGATATGGTCTACGATCTCGTGGCGTGCTCGTGCAGTGGGAAGCCGCGAGTGGCATGTACTTCTCATCTTCATCGAATCAGGCGCACTGTACAGTATCGGTACCATTCTTGTGCTCGCGTTCTATCTTCAAGGTTCCAACATCGGAACAATCATCGCGGGGATGCTTGGACAACTGAGTGTAGGCACCCACGTGCGCTACTCCATGCGCTTGCTTACTTAGAACTCCGTTGACAGGCCACTGCACCATACCTCATCATTGTACGCAGCGAAGTGCTTCGGCCGGCTTCGTCCTCAGGCAATGGCAACAAGGCGGCGGCCGAACTTTATGCACTAAGAGAACTCCCGGTGAGCGAGACCGTCCGAAACATTGGAACCTATGCTCACTGGCAATGTAGACTGCGATGCGCCAGAATCACTTCATGGAGAGATCGTCAGCTTCACTGGGCGCGTCTATCGCTGTTTCCGAACCCGAGGGGAAGTAGACAAGAGCGGACGATTTATGCAGTCAACGTAGTGCTTATGCATATATACACTGCTCACTCCCTTCAGTACTGTACATGTCCGTAAGCGTGATGAGCGAGGTTGACCAATACTCGAATGGACATACCGTGCTATACACCCACGTATTCTTGATGGATTCCTGACCCTTCCGCCTATCTGATAGGAGTTCTTACTGAAAGCCGCACAATTGAGGCGCAAAACTCAAATCTTGGGCCACTCAGGGTGGAAGTGGTCTAGTACGCATCAAGGCTCCTTCCATCCCATCAACAATGCCTCGCGATCCTACAGTTCACACATTGGCCCGGTAGAAGGGTAATGTCCGGCGAAGAAGCGACGTCGATCGGGTTCACGTAGTGAATCATCGTTCGATGATGCAGATGGGACATAAATAGTCCGTATGTCTACAACGAGACCAGATACGATAAATTTCCCGTATTCGCGCATATGCTCTACCGATAGTCAACCGTTGACAGCCAGAAGGCCCGCGCGAATCTAAGTTCGCCAGACGACTGCGTTCTCTTCTCCAGTATAGGAAGACGAGTTACAGCCACAATAAGTAGGCTGATTGATGTCTTCAATCTTCTATGCCAGTTTGAGAAGCTCTGAGAGGAGAGATGCAGTCCCTGGGACATGATTTCAGTAGGCAAAAATTATTCCACATGACTGGACGCACCCGAGCTGGTGACCAGTTCTTGTGCTCGCTCGAACGACCGTCGTCATCTTCCATTCTAAGGCAGAGTGGTGTCACTTCTTCTATCTATTGGGCACCCTTTGCATCGCGTATCCGATGCGGAGTGCAGACGCGCGAACGTGAGGTCGGTCATGAGGCCAGCGATGTAACCTTGCCACAACGATGTTCATCTTGGGAATCTGTATCTTGCCACGTTCTGCACCAAGAGGTGACAGAATCGGCCAGTGAATCCGGATGTGACGGGGCAGAGAGCTCGAGCGTGATGAGAGTTCGCGGCAAGCGCTGGTAAGCGTCCGGCGCGGACACGCCGCGGCCCTTTCTTGAACTCGACCACCACGTTCTTGCTTGGTCCTTGCCGCCTTCTCAGCAACTGCTAGTGTACCAAATGGCATATGACCAACAGCCTCCAGCTTCAACTATGTTGCCTCGTGCGGTCCTGGCTTGCCGAACAATCCTCTGCGTTCTCCCGTGAACCAGTGCGACGAACGGCGTTGCGCGATAACCTTCCTGCACTCTTTCCATCTCTGGTGAAAGTGCTCATCTCCGAGCCTGCTCCGGCCATTCTCCCGCTATGAGCTTTCGAAAATGAAAATGCTAGCCTACGATACCTCCATGTCCCTACCATGTGTGCCCAGAAAAGTACCGCGGTTAGGATAAACATCATCATGTTACAAGCAGGATGCATGGTACAGCTGGATTATGGGCCGGGCTCGCACACGTCAAGGAAGAACGATTCGTACGCTAGCTGCCCTAATGCACAATTTGGGATTATGTGTGCCTCTCGCGCAAGACTGCGAGATTTGATCTGCTATCGGTGTGCCGATGGGTATTGCGATGCATAGCCCTGAAAAGAATGTCCGCCTCTTCTTGACTTCAGGTCTTGGAGCGGAGATCTTTCGAGATAGCGATAATGAACGCGCAAAGGTACTCCTGCCTAGCTTCTGCACGTTCAGTGATTGATAATGCTCTTTCACAAGCCCCATCCAGTAGTAGGAGCCATATTGTGTGGACCAGGTAACTCGATCCGTAGGCGCCTCATCGATCATGCCGTTATACGGCCTTTCGTGGAGCGCATACCAAGATCTTCGTCATTTACTTTCAGTCGCGTCGAGGACCGTCTTCAGGTGGAATGTCACCATTGTGACAGCTACGCTAAGCAAAGCTCCCCTTCATAAGACCTGCGCTATCCAATCTCTCTGCCACCCACTCCCCACCGACCTCAACCACGGCTCGTGATGTCTGGCAACATACGTGCAGCGTACTGTTCTCGCGAATACGACAACGTCTATTGCGTCGACGCCTCTCCTGGCACCGAACCAACGCTTATAGTATTGAGCCGCTCGGGGCCCTCCTCGACATACGCGCAAACAGCCTCAGTTGAACTCAAGCTCCAAGATCGCGACGAAAGGCTCGTGCCGCTGGCTGCTGTTAGGGTGAGCGCGACCAGTCGTCTTTGCCTCGAACGTCTCTGGTTATGTGGACTTTGTCAGCGCGACTACGGCCTCAACGTCATTTATCAAGATGGCGACGGCAAGATACGAGATTTCCGACTACTTGGCCTCACAGAAGTTCACAACTTCATCATTCCTTCGATCCTGGTCTCCGGTCCCAACGATCCTGTCGTCTCTGACGCCAGCCCGAAGTGGATGACTTCGCTCACAGCTATCTCGGTTCCCGATCCAAATGGACAAGAAGCCACGTATGTCTTTTACTTGTCGCATAAACTTGTGAGTGGACGATTGTCTGTCCTCGCGGGTGACTGTCGCGATCGTCTGGCATAACAGCAAATCTGTAAGTTCAGCGTGTAAGCTATTGAGGCATGCCTAACGTTGTCTAGACTACGTTGTCGGGCGGCCTGCGCTCGGACAGAGTCAAAGTGGAAGCTCCGAATTAAGCTGGAGCCAATCGTACCCTGTAACTTCCGAAGTCATTGACGCACAGACACGTCACTTATCGGCTTTCGCCTGGACTGGTGAGCCCCTCACTGTGTCCTGATAACTCCGTCTGATTCCTTAACTACAGAGCACAACACGAACTGCATCTGCGTTGCTTTCAACAAGTCCCCCGGTCACTTGCAACTCTACACCATGCGCATCCCGCATGTTGCGCCGGGCCCTGCCCTTGCCACGTTTGAACTCGCGGTGGATTATAGGGGCATCCCTCTCACCCGCGGGCCCTTCTCCCTCGTCCGGGCTCCTACCAGGGCCGGAACTCAGCTCGCTCAAGATCAGTACAGACTCTACGCCCAATATGCCAATGACCTGAACGATATCTTTGAGCTCCGTTTGTTCGTTACCCAGGGTCAGTATGGTGTGCAAGAAGTGCGCCAGGCCCGAATCAAGTTGTCCGAGGATTCTGGCAGCGCAGCACCTGCTTCAGGAAGTGCGTGTCCGTCTGATTATTGCTCATGACATTCTGTTTCACATCCCTTCGCAGCACTCATCAGCACCATTTGTCGTGTGGTTGATGCAACCACGTACACGTACAGTACGTGCCTGTTGATGCATATACATGCCTGGTCGATATTTGTTTATGCTTCCCCTTGTTCATCAGGTGTGATGGTCATCTATACGACTATAGACTGCAAGGTGGCATATGGGATGGTTGAAGACACGATCGTCCAGGTGGACAGCCATCTTTCACCGTATGCAAGCTCGCTGGATGAACTCGACGCTGGCTTGCTGACCAGGATGATTTCAGACCTCAGTCCGCTCACAGCGATGGCGTTGACAAGACTTGGTACACTGCCCATGATACCAAGTACCCCTGTTAGTTCTGACGATGTCGTACAGCTCTTCTCCTAAGAAAGATAGCGCCGGTGGCAAGCTGTAAGTAGTAGTGCTTTTTTCACTACTGGGGTCTCTAGCTGATGATGCTTTAGGGATATCCTTCTCATCCTCGATGCGACGGGGAGCATGCAGCCTTACATCGACGAGGTGCGCCTCCGGCTTGGAGACATCCTTGACGGTATTGTGGCATCTGGCAAGTTCGCGCTACCCAGCATCCGCGTCGGCCTCATCGGTTTTCGTGACCACGACCTGAACAAGCCGTTGGGCGACGAATTCCTTGCACCGCGGTTAGCGCTTTCATCTGACATCAGTGCCGTGAAATACGAATTGTTGCGTTTACGTGCGGATGGCGGCGGCGACGGTCCGGAGGCGCAGTCAGATGCTTTGGCTGCCGCAGCTGTAGCTGGATGGTCAGATGACAGCGAAACCACGAAGGTCGCTATCATGATTACCGACTCGCCTCCGCATGGGATTGGAGAGAGGGGAGACAAGCACCCCGTATGTCCCAGGCGTGAGTTCTGGGCGCTCATCTGCACAGAATGAATACGCTTACTGGTCGACAGAGAAGGATGCTATATGCGCTGCAAATAGCATGGCAGACCATGGCATCACCCTTGTAGGCGCCTTGTCTCTTATGCGTCAAGGAAGACCGCTGACTTTGTCCAGCATGTCATCGCCTGCGAACCCACTTTGAGCGACACGTATAAAGTACGGCCTTTTCTCCTTCCCGGGCGTCACTCTCTCACTTATTCATCAGTATGCACATGACTTCTATCGAGGACTCACGCAAATCACTGGGTACGTCTTTTACATGACTAGTACTTTGATTCTGAATTTATGGTTGGCTTCAGCGGCAAGATGATTCCCCTCTCCGTCTCCCAAGAGCTGTGCCAACTCATCGTCGGTCATATAACTGAGACTGTCGACATGCACGAGCTCGCAATGAAGCACAAGTTCACCATCGCTGAAGGCTTACGCTCGGGCGCGAGTCGCAAAACCGTTGAGGAGGCCCTGCTGAAGCAGCTAAACGCCGGCAGCGCTCAGATACGCACCGTCGTGACCACCGAGAGCATCTATACGCCGCTCGAGATCTCCGACTACAATGCAGACATCTGGGCGAACGCGGACAAGATTGAGTCCTCTGTGACCAAACGATTGAAGACGGTGAGTGAGATTGTCCACGCCTGTACCCAACTGGTCTCACCGAGCGGCGCAGACCACTTCATTCCGAGTGAAGGCGGAGTATCGTGAAGGAGGGCCCAGCTACCAGAGGCCTAAGAAATCAGAGCTTCGCCCTGAGAATGTCACTTTCAAGCAGGTTCGCCCGTCATGTATCATACCTGACAGATAGTCTGATCGTGCGATCGCAGGCCGCATCGGTCGTCTCCGCCGTTGCTAGGCTCAACAAGCTCAACAAGAAGTACTAGACGGTGGAAACACGGCGGGTTCTGCTCTTGGGCGGCAGAGACTCATATTCGGACTTGGACTGAAGTGTTGCATACGAAGAAGGCTTTCTCATGGACTTTCGCTCGCGCTGAATGTATGACACATGCGAAGTTAACAATGTGCTATCGAACTACTGCAGAATGTGATCAGGAGGAGTACGTGCACCGACTGTTGAGAGATACAATGCGGAGGGAGTAGATGTCGCTTGAACAGACTGCGTCTCGGGGAAAGATATATCACCGCCACCATACACCTAGACATCAAGGTTAGCAGGGGTTCAAGTGACCGCAAGAAGGCTACGCACGGCCCTAATCCGGGACGGATGGTCGCATCATCGGCGCGAACGGGACGTATGTCGTAGAGACACCCATTCGATAGGCCGCGTAGCAATATTCCTCTCCCCCCTCTGTCCCAAGAGGTGGACCAAACCACGTCTGCGTTTCCGGAAGTTGTTCGCCGCGTGAGCAGTGAACACGTATTGCATGATCAACGATGTTCAAGCACCCAGAGCCAATGCGTGGCAAGACGACCGGGAGAGAGTCGGGTTCGAGGCCGCTAAGAAGATCGCAAGAGTGCTGCCGATACATATCGGCTACATGGGCGTTCGTCTCGAGTGTGCATCTTGGCTACCTCGCGCCTCGCGTCTCACGCGTCGTCGTCGACTCGGACGCGCTTTCGACGTGATGGCGCTGTTCACATCAAACCACCGTCTGCGTTCCAAAGGCATGCTGGTGGTCCCACCTACACCCTATTCAACTACTTTCGCCACCCAGGCGCGCGGTCCGATACGTCACCCGCAATCCGGTAGCCTCAGAAGCCGAAATATACGGCGCAAGGCTCGCGGCGAGAAAAGCGCCTTTGGCGCTCCCTTGCGCCCTCTCATCATCAAGTTTCCATGGCGGGTTGCGACAAGAACTTGTTCATCTTTGTTGACCTGTTGGTATCCTCTACATAGGTAGTTGGAATCTGATCTGTTCCCGTACACAATCTTGCGGAGCGCTTCTCTGTACTGACGATGCCGGTTGTTTGCTCCAATTCGATAGGCCCTCTTTGTTGTTCTAAAGGCGTTCAAGAGGAGACCTCAATAGAATACCTAGGCCGATCTGGATCGCATTTCAGGAGAGATATGCCAGCAGATGTATGCCGTTCAGGTTGGGAGTTGGCTGGTTCAATGACTAGTTCAGTAAGGGTCGTTGGCCTACTTTCCGCAAGTGTTGACCCAACTCTCTAGGCCAGTACGCGACCCCATCACCCCGGGCACTTGGATAGCATATGTGGCACCTCCTCCTCAGTCGGGCGGGTCAGCGGCTCCTCTAGGGGTTGTAGCCTGATCTGCGCGCCGCTCAATAGAGTGGATCTGTCGCGTTCCCTCGTACGCGGGTAGATCAGGAAGCCATCAATCGTACGGCCCGCCTGCGTCGCAACGCCGCGTTCTCCAAGCGTATCAACGCGAAATGGTGCGCCACTGCGTTTCGTACTCCCTTGAGGCATAAGAAGGTGGAAGTGCCCCGGGGGGAAATGTACGGGACCTTTGTTTTTCTTCTCCCTTTCTCGGCGCGCAAATGGCCGCGCATTCTCTCTTTCAGCCTCTTTCGGTCCTTTCTCTCTCTTTTGGCTCGACTCTGAACTTCGAGCGTCTACGTAGACTTGTCTACCCCGCTTACGTCCCTCACGTTCCTTACGAGTATTACGTCGATCATTCCACTATCGTATCCCACCTAACGCCCGGAGCCTCACACTCCTTTGTCATGTTCTTCGCCTATCATGAACTCTGCATCGACACAAGCGACACGCTCTGGATAACGCAGCCCAACCACACATTAGCGTTGTACTGCATTGCTGACATGCTTGCCATTTATCCCTCCCACGTCATACCGTCCCGCCTATTCATACCGTATGGCCCCGGCACCATACGAAGAGACCTCGCACTCCAGAGAACGGACATGCTTCCGATATTTTTCCGGAGAACAGACGGCGGCGTTGGCATCACGATTCACAATGCTGATATCAGCGTCAACGCTCTCTTAGATGACCCGACCCGTATCACGGCAACCTCTCTCAAGGTCTTCCTGCACGTGAGTGGTCGACCTCCACACATACCTGCATCACCACTTACACAAGTTACAGCTCATCAACTACTCCCCAATCGAGCGACAGATCCAACTTCGAACTAGTTCAACTTCACCGCAAAGTATCTCAGTCCAAAGACTTGCACGCCTGGTTGCATCTAAAGTCTGCTGTTTCTGGAGGGTTCGTATTAGGGACTTCGTTTTATATTTGTTACCTCGTCACTGACGTCCAATACAGACAGCTGAGGCTGAGAACAACACTATCACGGACTGGAATGACCCACGCTGGATGGTGGGCCCAGGCGCGGGACGCATGAATGTCGGCGACATCATTCTTCTCGGTATTGCCTTCGTATCTCCAGGCAAGGTGACCCCGCTACTTCAGGTCCGACCGGACTTTGGTAAGTGCATCTTTGGTATTTCCCCATTCATGTTGAGCTAAAGGCAGCAGTATTCATGCAGTAGACAGTATCAGATGTGATTGTGCTGCATCACGACGTTCGCGTGTGCTGCTAGTCCAGCATAACGTTGTCTTTGCCTCGTCGGGCCTGTCTTTATCACTCTCGTCGGGCCTGTCTTTATCACTCATATCCCGCCTTCTTCATTCTGTGTTACAGTTGTTAGTGCTTGATTTGTTCCTTTCGTACTAGTGCTGAAACGGTTCGTGCTATAACGTGTATACTTATTAGGATGCGGCTACTTCAGACCGCCGGACCTATTTAAGCTTTCAGGTCCTCGGGGCCAGGCAAGTGAAACAAGTCATGCTCATGGTGGAGAGAGCTCAACATACCTGGACAACGGCCATTTCTTGGGGATAGGTTTGAACGGAGTCTGCCGAGATGCCATCAAAATGCTTGATCGATCTGATCATGATCTCCATTGATCTCGTCGAACTTATCCATTATCCATCATGTTCAACTTGAGCCTACGCTGACACTAAACTCGTGAACGGCGACAAAGTCCGTTGAAACACAGGCCTCTTGTTATACACCTCTTCTGAAGATCTTGAGGAGAGGTGGAACGCTGAACCTCGCCCGGAAGACCCAAATGGAAGCGTCCTGACGTCCGCCGCCAATGATGCCAATAGCAGGCCCTCTGACGACGCACGAATATGGTCACAAGACCGCCTGTTTGGTGACGATATGAGCGGTGGGATAGTGCTCTATGACGGCATGTTTGTACGCACAGTTTTCGCCCTGGACATACGGCTGTGCTCATCGGTTCCGAACCTCCACTAGGAATGGCGCGGAGGCCAAGCATCACCAGCCACACGAGAAGCCGTCCATGTTCATCTTACACATTCAGACTCATTCACAGTAATCCCGCACCGGTGACTTCATGACACCCATGCGCATCTCTCTGTTAGGGACTGACCTTGTGCGCGTTATTTTGGCCCTGGCAACCTTCGCATACATCGACGTACTTCTGTAGCGCTTCGTGGCAGTCGTGAAACTGCCAACCCCTTCTACAGCGCCACTATCTGTTGCTCTTGGACGTTCTACGTCATTGACTCGCCTCCGCCCTGATCGGAGCCAGCCGTGAATGTCAGGACAATTAAAGTCCCCCAGTGACCAGTGCGGGGGAC